CTGCTGGTGTCCGCCCTTTTCCGTTGGCCATGTAGCATTTCTATTCAGTCACTGCTGGTGTCCGCCCTTTTCTGTCGGCCATGCAAGCACTTCTATTCTGTCACTGTCGGTGTCCGCCCTTTTTTCGCTGGCGATGCAACATTTCTATTCATTTGTTTCCCAGGTCTGTCACTGCTGGTGTCCGCCGTTTTCCGCTGGCCATGCAGCATTTCTATTCATTTGTTTCCCGGGTCTGTCACTGGTGCTGCCGCCCTTTTCCGCTGGCCATGTAGCATTTCTATGCGTTTGTCTCCCATGTGATTTCTTTCTTTTTGTCTTTCAGGCTTGGTGCCTGCACTGCTGTTTTCTGCTCTGTCCGCTGGAACAGGTTCACCTGTGAAGGGTTCTTGCTCCTTTGAACGTGCGTGACTGTCTCCGGGATTGCATTCCTGCCACACTGTGTAACTCTCTCAGTTTTTTTCCTTTTCGGACAAGCGTTGGATGCATGACCAGGTTGGATTTCGGCGGCGGTGGCAGCGATCTCTCTGTTCAGTTGGTACGGAGGGCATATGTCAGGCACCAAAAATCAATTTCGTGTCACATCCTTCGCTCCTCATGCCTGTATTTCTTGTCCTCACGTGGTCAGCTCCCCGCTGATTGAGCAGCATGACCAGCATCATGTTCGCACTTGAAGATTAATTCTTCAGAAGGTCTACTGTTAGGGCTTCTCAATTCTTTCTTAAGATGTGTCCGCCCGCTCTGTACTGCTGTGTCCGTCTCTGCCTTGCAATCCTTCACATTTGTCTCCTAGCTCTGGGCTGCAGTGGCCGCCTCTGCCTTGCAATCCTTTGTCTCCCAGCTCTGGACGTCGCAAGCTCTAGTTTCGATTTTGAAAAACACAAACTGTTTGGGGTCTACGGTGGTGTAATTTGTTCTTCACCTCTGGCCGTTCAGCAAAGGCAATGCAGATGAGCTGGGCTTTCTTAAGGCCAGGCACGTTTGAGAGCACCGCAACTTTTAGAGCACACATTTGTCACCTAGGTGCGCATGCCTAAGTGGGCACGCACTACGAGAGCTGGCAGCTACCGAGCGAACCTTGGAGAGGCTTCAGGAAAAGAAGGCTTCAGGCCGGAAGGGAGTTCTTCTCACCCATGCCAGCACGGATGAGACATGGGTCTTCGGTGTGAGCCTTTGTGAGCATTAACTGGGCTCAGGTATTTGAAGGTGCGTCCTCAAAACTTGCGGCCCTTGCGACATCCTTCAGATGAAAGACCGAGAGGAGGAGTCTTAAAGGAGTTCTTTGAGGTGCCAGACGACTTGGACTCTCGGGCGTGAAGTTTATATACTTTCTTGGAGGAACAAGGAAGAGGTTCTTCCCACTCTTTGAAGCAGTTCTTACCACTGAGGCATCTGTAAAATCTTGCACAAACACAGTGGCTTCATGCTCTACAAGATCATCGCCTGAGCATCTAGAACGGAGGCCAAGGTTTTGCTTATCATTTTCGCAGCATGCATGAGACAAAGGCCTGCGTCATTCTGGCTGCTCATATTCTATTGCTTCTCCTGCAATGGCTAGCCTGCACGATGGAAACAATTCTTGCTTTTGGAATCCTTGGAGGCAACGAGTTCCATCTCTGCCGGCATTGTCTGAGTGATAGAGCAAAGAAGTGTGCTAATGTATGGGCCTTCAGCTGCAAAGCAGTCGAAGTGTCCCCAGCCCTGGTGACCCTGAAGGGGCAAAAGTCTGGGTCTGGGACCGGCTCACTGAACCTAATAACCTCGCAACAGGCAACATCTGGTGTGGCAGAGTGATGGTGGCAGCCGCGACGCTTCTGTCAAGTGATGCTTGTGTTGTGGAGCTTCCGCAGTATGGCTCAGATGGTCCGAACAACCTTTTGTGATGTACTTTGATTTACTTTCTACGGATCCTCCAGTCACATCCAACAAGTAGGCACATTGCAGAAATTGGACACCTGTGTTTTGATGTTTTGAACGTCGGATTAAGACCCAGTCTGTTTGGGGTGAATGCGCAATGCAGCCAGTTTGGTGTTTGCAAGTCGTGCAACAATGGAGCAATGCGTTGAATGACGAATCATGTTCAAGATGATCAGGTTGTATAGAGGCATGGCCGGATTTCAGATTCATTACATAGCGAAGGAACAGCTCGGCCGGTGTGACAGGATATGATTCGCTTGCTGCTGTTGATCAGAGTGCCTTTGGCCCCAAATCAGAAGTTCTCAACTGTTTTTTCATTAAAACTCCTTGCATTCTTTGAGACGCACTCAAATGCGCTATCAGGTGCTCCTTGCGCAGGGCTTCTGTAACATCTCCTCCATGAACCTATCTGACTGCCCAGAGGCCTAAATTGTAAGGAATTCTTTGGAAAATATCACATGCAAGCTGGTGCTGCTTTCGCCAACAAACTCCTTATTTGCTGATTTCCGCTACTGGTTGTAGTGTTTTCTGTCAGTTACTGGAAGCTGGCGAGTCCTGCACGGTCTCCTGTCCGGGTTCTCAAGCTGACTACAACATGTCTTGCGAGGAGCTTGCGGTTTTACTGTGGTCTTTCGATTTTTTTGACGCAAACTTTATGTTCGCACCAAGTTCGTCTTGAGTTTGGGTACCATCAGGAAGATGTCCTTCGAGTACCTGCATGCCTGTTTTTCAACGGCTCTGTGACCATGACCATCACCAGCACCATCGCGAATCTTACCACAACAAGCAGCACGTCAATTAGAACCTCCACAACAACTGTAACTAACATCACAAGCACCACAAGCACAAATTACACCAGCACAACGAGTCAAACACGCGAAAGCGGTACATCAAGCTCGAGTACGAGCATCACAACGAGTGGCTTCACAGGCATAGAATCTGGTGGCATCAGCACTGTCAGCACCAGCAGTTCAAGCACGACCAGCACAACCACAACTAGCACCACTAGCAGTGGAAGCAGCAGTACCACCAGAAAGAGTACGAGCACAACAAGTGGAAGCAACACCAGCACAGAGCGTAGCTTCGAGGTTACCCTCACAACAGCAACCGGCTTGCCAGCCACTAGTACAGCGAGCACCAGCAGCATCACTAGCACTACCAGCACTACCAGCAGCACTACCAGCAGCATCAATGGGACCACCAGCAGTACAACTACTACCGGACTAGCAAGCATCATGTCTGCGGCTGAGGGATTTCTTGATGTGGCCGTTCGTGGGCAGTGGACTCCATGTCTTGCTGGTCAGGTCCAGCAGAAGCTGCGTCGTGGCCTCCATGTCTTCGACCTGTCCCAGGCCACATCAGGAAAAAGAAGGTGTTAAGGGCTGTTAAGGGGCCCAAGTAATCCTTCTTTTTTTCCGATCGGATGTTATTCGACACGTTTGTCCAAACAAGGTCTATGCTACACATGGAGCGATGCGCAATGGTTTGTCCAAAACCGCTTTGGCCCCAGAAGGGCAAGTTCCGCAATGGTTCACGTTGCTCGAGGTTCGAGGTTCACATGAGTTCCGTAAATCAGTTGTTCTCCAAAACACACGTCCAATAAGAACATAGGGTGCATAAATTTGTCTGTATGTTGATCCATGTCATTGATTGCCCGGTGCGCCGTATTTTGGCCCTTGGCTCTCATTCTCTTTGCGACCCTGGAATGTTTGCGATGTTTGCAGATGCTTTGTGGTGTAATCAAGACGTCTCAAGGCATCTCAAGGCCCTAATTCCAGTCCTCCAAACCATGATAAAGATGATATTGTTTTTTAAATCCTGGCCTGAAGAAGTCTCCTGCCAGGGTCGTTGGGGTTAGCCGGTCTGCCCAAGGTCCGTGTCGTTGGGCGTTTTCATTTGCCTCTTTGGGCACCTCTTCGGCAGCTCGGGCTGCGCTGCCGACCTCTCCACACAGTGGAGGGGACAGCTGCTGGCTGCTGCACTTCGCTTCGGAGACTTAGATGAAAGATGATAGAAGGAGGTGAAGGTGATGGTAGATGACAAGATGCAGCTCTTGGGCTGGAAAATATGAATTTCATGCTGGATCCTAAAGGAGATACTGAGATACTGTAGAAGATGAGAGAGGTCTCAAAGACAAGCTCATTTAGGGTGGCTTCTTCAATTGTCTCCAAAGTCCCAGCAAGAAGTGATTTGGTTGCAGGAAATGTCTCATTGACAAGAGTGAGTCTCTGCCATTTCTTGAGGCTTGAGCGGTTTGGAGGAGCCTTCAGTCGATCAGCTTGAAGATCGACTCAGGCCGAGTTGGACTTCGGACACTCACGCCAAAATACCCAACACCATGGAACACCAAGGTAAGTTTGGAAGAGATTCAAACCTTGGTTGACTGCTCCCTATGTAGCACGTGCTTTCCCAGAACTTACAGTATGGACACTTTCAATATACAGTCTTTTAAACATCATTTGTATATGTATATATAATATATATATATATAATGTATGTATATATCAAATGCTAACACATACTGCGCCAAGTACCACAAGACCCATTAGCGCGTGTCTTGTAGACCCTGAGCTGCTTGGAAATCATGCTTTCGAAACCGTATGAATGATGAGACTGACAGATGGTGACAGGATATCAACTGGTCAATAGGAAGTTGACAAGAAACAACCTTCAGACGTTGACCACCTCCATGGTTTTGGCTGCGACCTGAGGCGCTCACTTGCAGTTTGTATTGGTGTCTCTGCCAGCAGCATCGTGCGCCTGCGGATTGTTGACCTGATGACAGGCGAATAGCAAAAGCTCAGGTGGCAGAAGTTGCGTCGCTTATGTGTCTTTGTTTGGCAAGGCACAAGTGGCTTCGGAGAGGCAGGTGCATTTTGCCTTTGGTAAGCTGCCAACAAACAGCCCAGACACCACGAACTGTAAAGCTGTGCTCTTTCTTTCTGGTCAATCAGCATTCTATCACGCTATTTATATGCCATATATATGCTATCCCCCAAAGATCTACCATTTTTGCCTGCTGCATGCATGTCTAACTCAATGTTATAGATCGATATACATGCTGTGTGCTAACTCCAGAGATGTCTTGTTAGGGCTGATTGCTGATAAGCGATCAATTTTCAGAAGGATGGATCAAGGGCTTCAGTTTTGAGAGTTGTGTGAACGTTTCAGATGCAGACTACTTTTGTAAACGTGTTCAGAGACACTGCCTTTTGCTGTTGCCAAGCTATGGCAGATTGTAACACCTGCTCCAGTACTCCTACTGCACCAGGATATGGGCACGAAGCAGAGAGCTACCCAATTGAGTGAGACACAGGCGATCAAGGATCTGCGCTCCTGCCTTGACACGGGCTCTTTTCCCACATGCAAGTGTGTCGTGGGCTCAGCGTGTTGTGCTTCTCATGAATCTGGCTCCGCTCATGCACTACAATCACTACAAGCTTTCCTTCTTGGACTGACCTGTAGTACTCCGTTTTTTGATCCAAGGTCGTGTGAAGTTCGAACTGACTCGAGTTCTGCTTCCAGCAATGATCGGGAGAACATTGACGGGGAGGTGCGGCACCGTGCTGCCGAAGCTCCAGTTGAACTTGGAACTTAGCAGGGCGCATCTAGGCAACAGTTTCTCCAGCAAAAGAGCAACCGCAGCGCCAAGCGTGTTGTATGCGCAGCAAGGCCACAAGTAGTTGCGCGTACCTCGATCGACCTTTCTGCGCCGCCAACAGTTTTTCCACTTGTGGTGTGCCTCCTGCCACCGTTGCGAAGCAATTGTCTATATCTATGTTCTACGAGCAGCTTTGCCACAGGCTTGCGTGAACCTAGCAGGACGGCTGTGACGGCAACAGCTGCCGCGTAAAACGCGTTTAACGGCCAGCAGTTTCGCATCAGGATGATTGCGCGCTGTTGCACTTGTGTTGCGCTGTCTGTTCCTGTTACAGGTGTTTGGAATGATGCTTTTGTTCTGTTACGCTTTCCTCCTGCCTGCTCCGGACCCCGTTCCTGCTCCCGTTTTTGTACATTTCACAAATCGATTGCGGTTGCGTTGGAGCTTTAGCGGCGCATAGTTGGAGTGTTTGAAAAGTTCCAGTCAATTGAGTTGCTACCTGCTGTTGGGTGGCAAAGTCTTCCACCCTAAATACCTTGGCTGTGGTTTCTTGGCGTATTTATGTACACATATTTGTATAGTTGGATTTAGAGGCGTTTCTGGTTTTCGATGTTGATACTTTGTATCGTTTTTGCTGCGTTTGTTTCCGAAGGGCTTACCTTGGAAATGCTCCTGGAGTTTCGTGCTTTGCGCTTTCGTCAACAAGCAGGGAACCCTTGTGTTTTGCTTGTGTGAAGTCGGCTTCGTGGCACGCGCAGGCGGTTTTGTACTTGGATGTGCAGATCGTGGCAGGCGCAGTGCAGTGAGCTTGGCTGTTGTTGGCGTGCTTTTCCTGCGGGATGTGATTCTGCGCGCGTGGTATCGTGGCAGGCGTGGCAGGCGTGGGCGCCGCCAAGTGCAGATTTAGCAACGCTTTGTGAACCTTGAAGGCGACGTGGCGTGGCAAGGACACCATTTTGTGAGCCTCAGACGACTCAGACTGTAGATTTCGCGGCGGGCGGAGCGCTTTACAAAACTCCTGTTGCAGATGTCATAGCAGCAGTGCTTTGTGAGCCTCGACGTGCAGATGCTTGTGAAGCTTCGTTTCGTGAACCTGAAAGTGTAGATTTTCGGGGCATGGTTTAAAGAAAATTCTTTTGGAACAATAAGATGTCTTTTTCATTAGCAGTCAAGTTTTCTTGTGGATATAACCATTATCTTTCACGCCCTCGCCAGTGTGAAACGGCAGCGCCTGTGTTTCAACGGTGTGCGTTTGGCGGGCTGCTGCAAAGCCGAGGAAAAGCTCGTACAAGTGGGCTGCGCCGACCATGCACTGCTCCAAGCAGGAGCCCTTGCCTAGATGTAGGCTGCTTTGTCTTGGAACACGGTCGCGGCCCCTTAAAGGAGACGGGCTCCGTGACAGTCTTCGTGACTGAGCCTCTCAACCTCGACCCGAATGATCCAAATGACCCAGTATGAGGGTGACGCGTTGATTGTGGCCGGGCACAGTGCCTGCCATTGCGCAGGAGGCCTGTGTCACTTCACACGCAACTTCAGATACACGCGACGCCTGTCGGATGTGTTGGCGGGCGCGGAAAGCTTTTTCGACGCCTCTTGGCGTGAGTCTTTTGCAATATATACCTTTTTCAGCCGCGGGATCCCATGAGAATCCGTTCCCTGGTGTTCAACCAGGAGCTGCCGTCAGCTTGCCTCAGACCTCTTGTCATGATGAGCATCCTGAACCGCCTTACGTACGAGCGCATTTTTTACACGGTTACACCGTTACACAGTTTACACCGTTACACCGTTAACACCGTTACACCGTTAACCAGCGCGTCCAGCGCAAAGCAGCGTATCCAGCGTAAACAGCGCCCGTCGCCAGGGTAACCAGGGTAAGCAGCGTAATTAGCGTAAACAGCGTAAATAACCAGCGTATTCCGCGTAACCAGTGCAATCAGCGTACCCAGCGCTGTTTAGCTCGAGTGAAGCGCAGCCTGGACTGAGTACATGGTAGAGCAAAGGGCGTCCCGGCCAAAAGGTTGTCGGGGCTTTCTTTGACTTTTCGGGGTCGGATGCGGCTGGCCTTGGGGTTGAGGTCTTCTGGGTTGACATGACAGGGTCGGTCGGCTTGAGCCAGACCACCATCGCCTCTCGCCTCTCTGGACCCCAACGCGTCTAGATCTCTAGACTTTCTGCTGCCACACCCTAGACCGTCTAGACCTCAAACACACTGCTTGGCGGGAAAAAAAGATAATATATATATATATATGTACTTACTTTTCTCAAAAATATGGCTTACTTACCTACTACTAGCCATTTAATATGTATACACATACAGTGCTTATGCGTTTTTCGATCGAACATGCTGACACATGGTTCGAGGTCAGAGAATTTGATTTGGAAGTTGAGCTGGAGGTGCCATTGGGGGCCGTTGACGCAGCCGTTGTCACAGCCGTTGTTCAGCGTTGATGGGAGGTTTCCCTGAGCGATGATGTGAATGAGACAGAGGCCACTGACTGAGCACTAACACTGACCTAGGAAATCCGTGTGTGGGGCTTTTGGGCTTTGTATGGGTATGATTTTGATTGATTTTGTATGTTTTGTTCATTGCTTGAATTTAGCGAGCGCCTTCCCAGAGGTTGCTGGTAGGGTCCACCAGTCCAGCAGCACTCGGCGAGTGAGGTTTTAGCTGCGATTATGGACCTGGAAGATATGTTTTCGACTTAGCCCCCAGGTGATGACTTATGCAAGGTGTAGCGACAAATAGTTTTTGCATTTGTGCCATTTGCCAAGAGGTTCGAGTTAAGTATGGAAGATTCGATGAAGACATCGACTTCATGTGACAGAATCGAATCAAATCGAGGTCCAGCCCCCTTGCGTTGCTTCTTCGCAACATTCTCCAGGCTGCCATAGAGCGAAACGTATGGAACACCGATGTTTTGGTGTGTCTCAAAAGGAAGGAGGCCCCAAGCAATGTGCTCTAGGGGAAGCAAATCCAATTTTTGAAACATCATTTTGAGACATACCCATGACTGAAAGTCCATGTCACCCTACAGCCAGTATTCTCAGGGATACTTCCAGATTCGAGTGCGGTGGGTGGAGGTATCAATGGAGCCACCACCTGAGCCAGTGGAATCTGGAAAGCAATTTGAAGAGTTGCACTTGACTCCGACTTTATTTAAGGCCTGTGGTCTATTCTGGAAGCTTGGTGAACCTGACTGGTCCTGGCACCTTGATTGCTCTTGAGGCTATTTACTGTGCACTCAGATGTAATGGCCTCCCCATACATCTAGTTTTAGCTTTGATCCAGTATGTTCAGTATGTTCCACCATTCCGCCCTGCATTGCGGCGGGTGGCCAATCAATGCAGATGGTTCCCAGAAGCCTAAAGGCCCTCGCAAGGTCCACCTTTTCAGGGTTCACCGTGAGGTCTATTAGCCGGAGATTCAGATGTATCACTTGGAGACTCAGATCCTGATGGTCACACCACAGTGGCCTCTGGGGTCGTCCTTTCCATGGCCTTGCTGCCAATTGGTGCGGCCTGGATCCGCCTGGTGATGGCAGAACAGGCAGCTGGTGAACACGAAGGCCGCAAGAGTGAACTCGTTCCTCAAGCCTCAAACCTTGCAAGTTATTCTTATTGTTTGCGTGACTTCACAAGAGGTGGAAGGCTGTAAGGGCCATTTGAGATACACAACTGACCTGCTTTGACTGCATGTCAGACAGGACATTTGAGCTGTGAAGAGATTCAAAGAAGCTCTCGGCCAAAGCGGAGGTTGAAGAGCCGGGCTGCAATAACCCAAAGTCAGGCTGCAGACTCCGGCTGAAAGGGTTTGCCAGGATGTCAAGATACAGCAGGACAGTGGCACAGCCTGCTTGAAGGAAGACCCAAAGACATCATGCTGCAAAATTCATTGTGCATGTTGCTGCGGTGACGCTGTGCTGTTGGCATCTTGATGAATCTTGCATTGTTAACGTTCAGGTCCGCTTGTGAAACAAGCTGGACAGCGTAGGATGTGACGCTCCGGGCAGCCGGGCAGGCATGCTATGCCAGGTTCAGGGCCACAGAGATGGATCCCTTCGTTGAAAAAGGTTGTTCACTTTGGTCGGCCCCAGATTGCGAGCCTGATCTAGGCCGACGGATGAAGTTGCAGCTGCTGTCTATGAGATCTCCGATCTTGTGCTGAGAGTTGAAAACACAGCTAGGGCAAATTCCACAGCATCCACAGTCACCAACACCAATGGTAAACCTCCCCAGGCACAAAGCCAGAATGGCAGCCAGAGGATGGACCACGAAGACACATTTCTTTTTGATCCTTTTTGAATCAACAAACAGCCAGTGCATATCATTTGCTTTGCACATAGCCTCCATCAAACACGTGTTCACCGGGTCTCTTAGCGTTCTTCAACGCCTCAAAGTGCTTCGGACCAGATCATCCTATGGCGCTTCTAAATCATTCGGAGGCGGCGCTGCCTAGACTTGGACTCAACTAAGAACAACACTGCGACAAGAAGTGTTTGTAACATCGACAACACCTTATTCACAGAAGGATAGATGTATTTGGCATGCTAGTTTATCCACCAGCGAAAATGTATACACTGAACATCTGTCCAGTTTTGGACTTTCCAGTAGATTTTTCTGACGGCCGAGATAATCTATCCATGGGTCCATGAGTCCATGAATGTGTCATGTGCAATACAGCCTGACGACCCTGGTTGCATCAGGTGCAATCCCAGCTGGCATCCCTTGTGCAAGATGCCACCAGGCACGCATGCCCCCTTTGCGCAACGTGAAGATTGGCCCAGCAAAAGACAGCTGGAGGTTCAACAGAATAAGTCTCACCTCCCACAGGAACTGGGTAAGTGTGCCACTATTGGCTTTTAAACCAGCTTGATCAAGCGCTCACAGCAGATGGGAGGGTTCGTACTGTTTGCCGCTCGTTTAGACAGATATATGATATGGAGTTTCTAACATCGTGAATTCAGAGTTGTGAGGACTTGGCTTTTTCGCGTGAGGCTGGAAGCACAGCTCCAAGATGTGCGGATCCAGGATGGGAAAATAGAGACGATCACTGGGATGCAAGCCGCTTGGGCCTTTTTATTTGAACAAAGGAGGATTCTCCGAGAGGATCAGAGTGGATCACAAGGTTTGACAGTTTCATGGGAGAGTTTTACCGTTGTTTGGTGAGCATTGTTGCTGGAAGAGGGCCCGGATCAAGGCGGCATTGGCATGACCTGAGGTCCTGCAAGATTGGCTGCAGGTGGAATTAACCGCCCTGGAAACTCGTTTGAGGAGTGGCCTGATGGATGATCTCAGACCTTTGCTGAGGCACAAGATTCTTGTTTTCTCTTGCCAGCACTGGTCGATTTTGCATGAGCATGGAAGCAACTGCAATTTGCATCTTCTGGATGCTCCAGGCAGAGTCGAGATCTGAGCATGCCGGAAGACCAGGATCTGGGCATAGCCTGATGGTTGTAAATTTTGCAGTGTGTAGCCGCTACGCACCTTTCTGGAGGTACAGATGTTTGTTTTTTCGACTTTGTTGTCTTGCTGCTAGGACCCTGTGCATCCTGCGCAGCAACCTCAGTGGCTCTCCTGTACCTTGTTCTTTGTTCAAAGGCACAAGGTGTTTGGAGTGGTTGCAGAATCTTCTTGGGACAATCCCAGACTTAGAGGCAAACGTGGAGATATGTTGAGATTGATTCTTCATTTTGTAGGTCTCCTTGGGCACCTTGTCCTTCAGTACCAGCGTCTGCTCCAGTGCGGTTGGCCATTTCTCAGGGTGAAGACGCCAAGGACCCTCGAGCGGACGTTGCGTTCATGAAACATTTACCAGAGTACAGCCGGGGGGGGTCCAATCTTGAGACGCACCCATTTGATGTTGATTGCAGGGCTGCCCGGATGGGCCACACAGCAATGGAGCACTGCCCTTCCACGGTCTAGTCGTTTCCGCAGGATGCCCAAAAGCTGCCGGGCATGGTGGCTGATGAGCCTCCACGGCCCGAGAGCCCACCGTCCCCAGCTGAGAAAACCGATTCGTTCGAGACGAGACGGGATAAGACCGCCGTGTGAGGCCAAGAAGGCAGACTGAGGTGGTGAAGAAGCAGATTCCGGCCACTGCAGGTGTGGATGGTTTTGAGATGTTTTGAGTAAATCATGGACGAATGAATGGACCATTGAATGGGCAAAGCAAGTTCCCAGATGTGAACACAAGCTTTTGTGGCTCAGAAGCTGTTGAATACGCCCTTCCCATTGGTATGCACTATGCACAAAGCCCAGGTGTGATGTGCCCAGTGGTCCCAGAGAAAGGAAGAGCTCCTCCGGTATTGGAGAAGGCCGTGCTTAGCTTTGGTTTGGCTTTAGGTTGGCATAAAATTGGATGTGTTGGGCCACAGTGCCTCGTTTTTGTTTTTGTTCCAAAAGCCGTAGAATGAAGTCTGATCCATTCATTAAGGCTCCTTCGGATTCACCTTTTGGACATCAAGCCATTTTCTTTTTCAAGTCTTGAGGATTTTGATGCTTGGTGCGCAGGCCAGTGAAAAACCGACCCCTTTTGACGACTGCAGAGAATTGGTTCGGCGATACTTTGTGGAGAACTCTTATTTTGGATACTTTGTGATCTCGTTCATCGTTCTGAACTCCTTAATGATGGGCATCCAAGCAGATTGGATGGTCACCCATATTGGGCAACAGGCTCCAGTGTGGTTTGACGTTTTTGAGTACATTTTTGCTGTGGTCTTTACCTGGGAGCTTGTGATGCGAATCCTGGTCTACAACATCAAGTTTTTCCGGATGCCTGATTGGAAATGGAACATCTTCGACTCGGTGGTGGTTGGCCTGCAAGTCTTTGACATCATCACAACTTTAGCTATTGGGACTGGTGGCAATGGCAACCTCAATTTCATGAGGCTAGTTCGTCTCTTGAGACTCTTGCGCATCCTACGGCTCATGCGCGTTCTACGATTCGTGCAGGAGCTTCGATCAATGGTCATGTCCATAGCAGCATCGTTGAAGTCTCTCATGTGGACCATTATACTGCTGGCTTTCTTGATGTATGGTGTTGGAGTTTGCCTCATTCAAATGGTTGCGGACAAGGGTTTAGATGAGCCGCGCATCTTTGAGATTGCGCCTGACATCAAGACCTACTATGGATCTTTGGTTGAGGCCTTGGTCTCCTTATTTGCAGGGATTACTGGTGGAATTGATTGGAATGATCTCTTGGAACCATTGGAGAATCAAATCGGCCCCTGGCTCGCTGCCTTGTTTGTCCTCTACATCGCTTTCGCGGTCCTGGCCATGATGAATGTGGTGACAGGAAAACAACGGGGAGGGAGTCCGGGCTAGTGGGGCTGTGAGTCGTTTTAATATTTTCTTCTCAGCTTTGGAGTCTCCATTCACATCTTAGAAATCAAGAGTTGTGTCTAAATTCCCCTCGTTCCATCTTTGGATGCCACGATGGCCCTGGAATACACTATACAAACTGCTACAATCTTTCGTGGGGTCTCATCCTTCCCAGGATTTCTCCAGAAGAGTCAAGGTGTTACTTACAGATCCTAACAAACAAACATCTCCTGCATTCTGAGTCGTGCATCGGAGTTGGCTGGAAGGAATCTTCGTGGAGTCTGCCTTGCAATCAACCAGAGCAGATGAAGAGAAAGAGGTGAGGCAACAACTGCAGGAGCTCTTCAAGCCTCCTGGATGTTGTTTGGTATCTTTTTGATCTATATAAATGATGTCAAGCACGCGTTGGCTTCCCTATGTGGAGAACAGATGTGGGACTGAGAATTCAGGAACACAGCATAGCCTCGACCCTACTGATGGCACCGGTCAAAGAACACATTGGATTCATGAAATTGAGGTTCGGGATCAAACATGGCCACAAGCAATTGGACGAAAGAGCACACACCCTGGAAACCAGAACTATTGACGTATTATATAACTGTTCTAAAACTGGGTGGCTAAGGTCAAAAAAGGTTACCCCGAAAATCCACCAAACAGCTCTGTTCCGAGGCACGTTGATGCCAGTCGTGACGGATTCGTGTGCTGGGAGGACGCTGCTGGAACTGGGTGGGTGTTAGATCGCTTTTGATCGCGTACTGCTAGTGAAATGCGCTTGATTGGCAGAGTTTTCCTAAGCATTGTGCCTCGAACGCCTCTCCACATGTGAAGCAAGCATTCTGCAGGAATTTGTCCAGCTACAAAGCTGCAATTTATTCTCAGCTTTGAGGAAGTGTTCGCAGTACCAAATACAGCCTTTTTCTTCTGCAGATGGCAGACGCTACAGTTGCACTGAACAAGATTCGATGCGAAGAAATCACAAAGCCATCAGGCTCTTTTTCAACAAATAGACTCCAGCTTGTCGGTTGTGGGGCATCCTTCTTCCATTTGTGCAACCCCGTCCACCCCTTCCCACAGCAAAAAGATGCAAAAAGGGAGTCGCTGAGTCGAGAAAAGGCATTTGGAGAAGCCCGACATGATGCGATGCTTTGAGAGTTTGGGCTTCAACATCTCTGAAGCGGCACGGCTGAGTCGGGGGGGTCAGCTGAGGTCCGTTGGAAAGGAAGATGGGTGTGTCACACAGGATCCTGGCCCAAAGCGTTTTGATATCCTTTGCATACTCCTGGGCTTCCCCGTTTTGAGTATCAATATGGGAGTTGAAAGACAACGCAACCAGTGGGTACACATGAAATTACGCCAGCATAGACCCCGGATAGCAACAAGACTTTTGTGGGACACGGCCAAAGACACGTCGCAGCAGCACCCTCGGGCGGTACTGCAGCGGCACCAGCACCCAAGCTCCAAAGCGCACACATCTGGCAGCGGCATCCTGCAGCGGCGCCAGCGCCCAAGCGCCCACAGCGGCACCAGCACCCGAGCTCCAAAGCGCACACCGGCATCTCTTCCTATACTTGAAGTAAGAACCCCAATAGCTCTCGCGATCTGGGGAAGAGAGCCAACTGTCTCCACTACATTACACTACACCTGCAAAGCCAAGTAGATTGGGGAGTTGTGCAGCTTTTACCCCCCCAATGTTTTTGATGTGACTCGTTCTTTGTCCCATCTTCTTTGAGCGCCCTCGTTCGAGTGCCCTTGCTCTCTTTCCTGGAGTGTTTGTTGCGTTTTTCATTGTTTCCAGGTTGGGGATTTCTCCCTAAGATTTGCTGGTATCAAAGCAAGCGAATAGCTCAACCAAGTCTGGTTTGTCTATATATATATAATATATATATATATTACACGGCATTTGGAGGTTCCACCATGGCACACCCGTCCTCTTGCTTTCTTCTTTCCTTTGTGCTGGTTGGCAACATAAAGACGCTGAGGCATATGGCCTTTTCAAGTTGCTTGACACCGAGCAGTCTGGCAACATTGAGTGCGAGGTTGGAACACACCTTCGGCGATGTAACACAGAAGATGGCGCAACCAAGCCAATGCAAAGCACCACACAGTGCGAAACTCCGATTGGCAGACCGTTGTTAGCAGACCCTCCTCCCCACATCTCCCCGCATGATCTCACGTTGGATTGTCAGGAGCTCCTGGAAGGCTGCTTGCGCTTGCGAGGTCCAGCGAATGCCATCGATGTGGCCACTTTGCAGTGGCTGTGGCAGCAATTCTTTTTGGGAATTCTTCATGAATTTCCCCTGGTCAAATTTGTTTGAAGTGAATCCTGAGGGATTTTCAAGCAGGCATGGAACCATTCTATGGTCTAAGACCCCCTATCGACTCAACCAGTGGACGACTATCGATTCAAACCGAAACGGTGTGTAAACATGATTTTTCGGAGTGTTCTGCAAGCCTACCTGCTCCAGGTTGCTTTACATAGAGACTATTGTCGCATAGGAAGATTCAGCAGAAGGATGCAGAAGGTAAATTTGTGAGTGGACATCATGAAGCTTCAAAGATCCAACGCAATCACAGATTTTGAACAAATAAACTTTGTCGATTTGAATCTATTTTTGGAGAGGTTTTCTGGGGTTCGCACTTTTAACATGTCCAGCTCCCTTCCGTCAAACATCTGCCTTGCAGTCAGTCTGTGTGGCTGGAGGTACTCATCAAAGCGTGTTTTTGAATGGTGGCGAGGCCTGTGATTCGTCAAATCTCACTTGTTTATTGAAAGCCTGTGGCATTTTCATCCTGCGAATTAGTCCAGAGTTCTTTCTTCTGAGGTAAGATGGATTGCGTGGAAGAAACGCTAATGTGTATCCTGGACATCCTCGACGCCGTGCCTTGGAGGAGCAACATGGGAAGAGGATCATGCTGCTGCTGAGCCACTTCCATCGAACTCAGGTGCCTTCCTCAGCAGATGCTGACCAAAAGGATCACATGAGATCTGTCGTCGACAAGTTGCACATACATCGAAGTACAGGGAGGGACACACGAATCTTTGAGACCTGGAAGAAGTTCAAGCAAAAATAGTGCCAAAAGATTTCAGCTTCAGCAAGCTTATAACGCAAGCTTAAGGGGCTTGCCGATGGCTTCAGGCACTTTGCCGGAGGCAAGTGCTGAATTGCAGGGTTCAGTTCTCGCAGAGCCACTGTAGAGTCCATTTTCGCAGAAGGGCTCTGCGGCTTCGCTTAAGGCGTCCGCCTGGACCTTTCCCGACAGATCCTCAAACCCCTCAGACCTTTGCAGTAAAAGGAGACAAGCGAGGTTGTCCAAGTTTGTCATTGTTGCTGCTATGTTTGTTGTTTGTGGTTTGCTGTTGCTGGTCCTGTTGACATTGACCTGGAAAACTTTAGGAAGCTTTTCATACACTCTTGGTACAGATCCAGATCAGGTTCAGCCCAAGTGAAGTATGAAGAGATTGCAAACCACCCTCAGCACATGTTCTTTCCTTTTTTACCAGTCGTCTTCTTTAGCTTCTTTAGATGTTTACGCACCACGCGTGTGACGGGTGTGATGGTTTCTCACAGCATGCATCCCAAGGCTGAAGTCAATGGGTGAACATGAGTAGACGGAAAAAAGATAAATGTATTGCATGAAGCTGAAGATCACAACGTCCTTCCTTTCCAAATGGCATGGCTGATAGATCGCCTCGAAGGCGATGGATGGAAGGCGGGCAGTTCTGAAGGAGTAGCTATGAGATGATTTGAGTAGATGATTGGACGCGTTTCTTGTGTTGCAACTGCAGGTTTGAGGGAGTGGTTTGGTGGTGCCCTCAGGTCTTTCTTTGGAGCTTTTGCGTTTTTACCTCTTTTCCGAGACTCAGGTGGCCCATGCCACGTCAACGTCCTGCCCATGAACTTTGGAGACAAGCTGTCTTCAAGGGCATTTTCTTACCTTTAACAGCAGTGCTCCTAGAGCAGAGCTGACTGGCCGTTGTGTTCCCCGAAAAAAGGTTATCCAGAGCCCTGTGGGTCATTCTCGACGTCCTTGACCAAGGCCTTACTAGTAACAGGTGCCATACTAGTAGTAACAAGAAGCTAGTAGAAACAAGTGCCTTACTAGTAGTAGCAGGTGCCTTACTAGTAGTAACAATAAGAATTTAATTAGAATTGTAATTACTAGCAAAGGAATCTACTCTCGACGTCCTTGACCAAGGCTGCCTTGCTGTTTCAGAAATTGCGAATGGCATGGGATCCCAGCCACGAATGTCGTTTGGCGTGGGGGAGCCGACCGGGCTGGGTCAGGCAACATCCAGCAACGTGGGCCATGAGGCTGGCAGAGTCAACAGAAAACTTGACAAACATGTTCGTATCTTAGCTTTAGTAGCCTTTTTTGTGGTTTGGTTGCAACTTAGCTTGGTTGCATTGTGATGCTGGTGCCTTGCAGGGGATCGAAACAAATTCGAGCTTTATTCTGCGCCCTGGCGCTGCGCTTACATGCAAGCAGGAATCCCTAAATGAGCATGTCAAGCTCTTCAGAGGTCTTCATGAACATTGTAATAACCTTGCAAATGTCATGGCCGACTGCAGGTGATGAAGGTAAGTCCATTGAGAGGCCAATGCATCAATGTCACCACACCATGGGGTGGCTACCGTTTTTCCCTCTACCAGCAATGGTTTGAGTCAATCTCAGCACTACCTATGTTGTGAGTCTTCTAGTACAGGGGCTGTGCTTTCAACAAAGTTGCAGGTTGGACAGGCTGGACAACAAATCTTTTGCAGAGGCAGGATGCTTATATACTGTACAAAAAAAAAAAACATGTTGCACGGCTTGTACGTTTGCAGAAGGTGCAGAAGGTGTCTTCTGAGCCGTTTCAGACGGTAGAGCTACAGGAGGCAGGAGTTTGTGAGAACCTTCTGTGCTGATGGTTGTCATGGTTCGTTTCTCAGGATAATCGGCCTTGGCAAATTCACCGACTTCTTGTTCCACTATCCCAGGAAGTATGAGACTCAAGTTCATGGTGGATTGAGCACATGCTGAACTGTTGTTTTGGGAAGGTGGCCATGTGGTGGAACAACACAGACGACTTCATCATTTGGGCTACCCCGTGCCAGCACCCACATTCTGGAGGCAGCTCTTCCAATACCTTCATAGCAGATATGACCAAGATGAAGACTGCTGCTAAATTTGTCGTGTATGAGTGGCAAGGTCTCAATGACTCTCGAGTAGAGTGCTTGCATTTGGAGGCGCCACTCCTTTTCCATGTTTAATACTCAGAACAAGCAACGCATTCTCAGGTGAAGAATGCCAAACCATTCAGCTACCACGGCCGAAACGTGCAAGTGACAGGCTCAGGTTTTGCATGTGACTCTTTTTGACCATTTTGTTCACTTCATGTTGAGAGTAAGGCCATTGAAACCGAGATTATCCTTCCGAAGACTACTGTTGTCAAGGCTCAGCTCAAGCCATTTTGGGGTTATTATAGTTCGTATCGAAGAAGCTTTGAGGAAAGACATCTCAGACACTCTGTGATGTAAAACATATGCAAACTATCAAGACAGCACTGGAACTCCTGGAGCAACAAAAACCAGAGGCATGGCTCCCGGCTTTTCGGCCAGGAGTGCCGCTTCAGCTGGGTGCAGATCCGTGTAGATCTCCCGGAGATCGACGGAACTTTGAGAGCCCTGCATCTCTCGTGCCGGGCCACTAGGCAGAACTCATCAGAACTGTAGAGGGAGGTCACCGTGCCCCCAGGAATTGGTGTGGTGCACAATGTGTGCAGTGTTTACAGTAAGTGCTTCTCCTTGACGGGCTTTCGAATGCATACATGATGTTGCATGCTGACTCACGAAAACCTCCTGTTCATAAAGGAAAGTAGTTTTGCGAGGGACCATTTCTGCATCCATGTTTGTGAGTCAGAGTGTACATGGTTTTGTTGTTGGGGCTTGGTCATGAGCTTTCTTGGACAGAGCAATGGAATCTCTTGGCCAAATGAGGTCACCCCACAAAGCTTTGATGGAGGCGTGTTCCACATTCTTGGTACATGAATGTAGTGAATTTGTCATGGTTCCTTGTGAATGCACAGGTGGTTTGCCAGGGATCTTTGCACTGGTCTTCTTTGGCTGGCTCTTGCTTCCGCATGGTACCGAGTTCTCGTCAGAAAACCACTGGCACACCACCCAGAATGTGACAAAGGTGGCCGCTTTTACTGCTGCCCACCACCATCATGTACACAGCGGCCGAATCCCCAGAGCAGAACGCTTGTGCAGCTTCAGCCGACGGACGGACCATAACTCCTTGGACTAGTGTCTTTGTACAACATGTTTTGGGGGAGCCTCCACCAGGTCGGGCCTGCCAGTTGATGGGTTGTGAGATGTAATGAGTGGCCGAGGCTCAGCCCATCTTGGTGGCGTTGGCCTTCTGCGTGGCAAGCCTCTCGCGCTGCCTGCGCCGCCGGCGCCGGCTTTGGCGTCTGAGCAGCTTGGGCCGGAGGCAGGGGCAGGAGGTTGCAGGGACTTAGACTTGGTGTTAATGTGCACTTCCAGAATTTGTAGGTCTTTTTCACACTTCAAGATCCTAGGCCCTAGGCTACACTACTGCACTACACAAAATCATTCTGGAAACCTTTTAGTTCATTCTGTTGCCTTGCAGATTCCCACTTCTTGAACTGATTTACCTCCTTCCCGTGTCAACTCGTTCGGTAGTGAATTGGATCCAGGTCAATGTACTCCCTGTCATTTGTGCCCCAGTTTATGCAGGAAGGTGCCAGTGAATGTGGCCTATGGTGAGGGCGAGCCATGCTGTATTTGTTTCGGCACCGAGGACGAGGCATCGCGCTGTTTTCCTTCATGAGTCTTGTGCCTGTGCAATGGCGTTGGCACACAATATTCCCATGTCATGACTTGCTTGATTGCACGTCTCTTGCAAGGCATTATCTCACAGAGTATTCTCCTGTCAAAGTTTTTGGAATATTGAATGGTTTCATGATTGTGGTGTGCGATGACACCCATCTCCCGGGATCCAACCACGCGACTATTTGCAGCTTATAAGTTTGATAGCCTCCATGACAGGCCAATATTTGCTTGCTCCCATGCCGACATTCTTTACATGCTGGCTGTTATCGAAGCGTCTTGGTAGCAGATTGTCGAGAGGAGTTCAGTTCAGCCCTACAGTTGGAGATGGTCTTCTTGGTGGTACCCAACTTGTAGGATCGTGAGGTGATACACAGTACCTCAAACTTTGGCGATGTTGCGACATGCCGAGGTTGGATCTGCACGGATTCGTCATTCTGGCTTGGGCGTGATTTGATACCTACGAATAGTTCTTGATGTTTCGGGTCCTTTTCATGGGCGTGGTATGGCTTAGACTTAGACATAAACAAGAGAAGCGGCTGCAACGGTTTGTGTCCTGCTTCAGCCAAGCTACCAACTTGATCTTTTTGAGCCATAGCCAACTTCACCAACATCCCGAAAAGCGCTCCAAGATGCCAGGTACCCTTCGCGAGACTTGATTTGTCCCATTTGTCGCCGAAAGGTGACAGGTGTAGGAAAGTTAGTTTAATGCTCGAGACTTTTTGAACAGGAGAGCATGCATTGCTCTTCTGCTGGAACGAACCATCTCAATGTTCAGGACAAAGATTGGATTCAGATGATATTTGTTTGTGGTGTGTGTGTGTGTACCAACGGAATTGCACTTTTAGTATTGACCTGCTAGAAACCAGTTCTGTGATCCATTGATCCTCTGTCAGCCGCGCAGAGCTGTCGTGTATTTTCCCACCTCTCGGCTGGGCAAGAACCCAGCTTCGCAGTTTTGGGTGGCTGACCTTCAGCAGATTAGGCTTCACCTCAGTTTACTGCACATCTGCGTGCAGCAATAGGCCTGCTCACCGCTGCGAAGCGGTTGTTCACGTCGTCTAAAAGACCTTGCAACTTTGATCATTTTTTTGCTCAGTCGGACCATGTGAGGGACTACGCACCCTGGAAGTAGGAACATTGACAAACACTCTACCCCCTTGGTCGGAGTTATTCCCACTTTGAGATGCCAATGTCACCATGTCTAAGACCTCTTTCTGCTGATGTTTCCAGCTTGAAGCTCCTAGTTAACTTCCTGCAGTCTCCCGTAGCGATGGGCGGACAGCAATCCGCGGCCAAGGCATGGAGCACATGTTTTGGAAAAGGTGACGTGACATCCCTTTGCCTTGCCAAGGATCAGAGGGGCCCGTCTTTGATTTCAATCTTTATTCCTTTTGACGCACAGATAACCCAGCGTTGTTTGACCTTAATCTTTTTGCCTGCTTCAGTCATCGGCTGCACCTGGGCCAGATGGACAAGGTGCAACGAAAAGACAACTGCAGAATTCAATGCCAACACTGAGCTCTTAAGGTAATTAGCACATTTGTCAAAGTTTTGTTTGCGCATGGTTCAATCACAGGAGATGCCTCCAGTTCAAACTTTGGGAAGGGTCGCACTGCAAACAACCAGGCCGGTTTGGTTGGAGTCCAGCTTGAATCCCCAAAAAAGCAGGATTGTCAGAAAGTTGTTGAAACAATGAAACTTGTAATTTTTAGATCATACCTTTGAAACTTCCACATGCTTTTGTGTCACGTGTAGGGCGTGGTGTAGGGTGTGGGCTGCTCTTAGAAGGGGCGGTCGCCTTGTTGATGAGGTACTCAGATTGAACAAGTGTGAACCAGTGAAAAAGATTCAGTGAGAATCAGAGGCTTCAGGGGAAGTTGCTTCTCTCATGTGAATACCTTTGCAAATAGGTTCCTTCCCATGTTCTATTTCTGTTGACTTTTGAGGGTCTCCGGATTTTAAGCCATACTTCTCTGACTTTAGGGTCCTCTTCACCCACAGCTCTTTTTTGAACCGCCTCAGGTACAGCTCGCCGTCTCCGTGCTGGGAGGAGTTCCTGGAGCCAAGCTGGCAGTGATTAGGAGACAGTTCAGGGTGCCGGGGGTGGAACAAATTCAAGCAGAACACCCTTCTGATTGTCAATGGCCAATGGCCAGGCAACTGCCTACCACTCCTCTGTGATTGTCAACGGCCATGCCGAACCCTCAGCAAAACCACCTGCTCGGGATGTGAGGTGATGCTGCACATCCTGGATGAGTTCGATTGAGTTCCCTTGATTCAGATTGACATGGGAATGTCAGAAATATTCCATCTACCAATTGAACAAACACAGCCAAGTCATTGAGACAGGGTTCCATCAGTTCCATTGCAGGAATATTTCTTCAGCGATGGTGGCATCGCATCGACCTCTGACCTCTCCTCACACAAAAATCCGCAGATGCCGGACTCAAAACCTGAGGTCTGGGGCCAAGAACTGCCAGAAACGAACAGACCAATACAGACCACAGTTTCAGTTGTCAAGTGGTTTTCAACAAAAGCAAAACAACCAAGTGGAAAAAGATGCAACACTTTGAGGTCTTCTCTCACCATCAAAACGAGCCAATTTGCAACTCATCATCAGGTCATCGACATGGGAATGTCTCCGTACACGGGGTCTCAAATGCGGGAGGCTTTGGAGCGCTACTTCATCTCGGGAACGTGCCATTCGGGCTTCGTTTGCTTGGGCTACGCATTGTTGCGATGAGTCTACGAACCTGACCACTCGTCCAAAGTACTTTGATCTGGAGGTACGATTTGTTTTGGACTCAGAGGGTTGGTGGGTCACGTGTGAACGCATTGCCCTTCACAGGTGAAACTTGTCAGTGAAAGAGTGAAACCTGCCCGTTCTCCTCACAACCCCGTGGCTTTTCTTTATCCTTCAATGTTTTGGGGTAGCTTTTGAGGTTGCGCAAGAATTGCAACTCCTTCTCTGACTGTGCGCTCTTCTACCTCCTACACAAGTCAGCCTCTCAATGATCAGTGCTTTCTCGAGCTCGCTTACAGCGGCTTTCAGTGGCCAGGCGCTTGGACAAGAAGTACCGAGCAATGGAGAAACTTGGTGCATCCCCCTAGCAAGCTCGGTGCTTTGTGTCAGGATCAAAGTGAGGGGAACCCCAAACCAATGAGGCTTCTTCCTTACAGATCAACATAAATCTGTCAAGTGTTCACCGACTTTGTCGACTTCGCTGCAGTATTTGCTTGGCCCAAGCCATGGATGCCATCTCTGCAAAGAAACGGGCCGAGGTGGTCAACTCCATTGGGTCGAAACACAGATTTCAGTGATGTGAGTTCAAGCTCTTTGTGATTTCTGGTCCTGCTAGTCTCGCCACAGAGTTATATTCAAGAGACAGTTGCATTACATCACCGGGGCATAAATGTGTTTGTGATCATATATGATCATGCTTCTGTGATTGTGATGTTTTGTTGATCTTTCTGGCCTTACTACTAGGAGCAAGGACTCTACTAGGGGCTCCTGGCCTTACTACTAGGAGACATGAGTCTGTCAATGCTTTTGAAATGCGATTGTGCATGGGCGTGGGCGGACAGGATGGTATATGCCGCCTTAGCCTCGATGCACCAAACAGGCCGTTTGATGATATCCATGCCTAGTAGCGTCCTTGCTCCTAGTAGCGATGCCAGGAGCCCCTAGTAGCGTCCTTGCTCCTAGTAGCCAAAGCCTCGCGGTGCTGCGGTGATTTGCCTTTGGCCGAAGCGTCGCAACTCGACTGCAGGCTGCAGCAGAGGTCAATTTCGGCCTCGCGACTGGAGGCCATGAAGCAGGACTGATTCACTCTAGGCAGCAAAATCATGGGACCTGAGGGTGTTTCACTTTGAGCAAGGTTCAAAACCTCCTTAGTCATAAGATGAAAGAGTTGTGTCATAAGTGCGTAAGCCAAACTTAGCCAAGCACTGGGTCGCGTAAGCTCGCGTAAACAGACTTTTGAGAACATGTTGCGTAAGCAAAGTCAGAATGTTGAGGCTCTGTCGAAAGCCATTGGGCCATTGGATTTTGAGGACCGATATATGCCAAGTCACCGCATCTACAAAGGCGGTACAATAAGCAAAACCACCATTCACTGTACTTGACACGGTTCCTTTCCTCAAGGATGGTGATGAGCAGAGACGTGAAAGATGAGGTCACCCAGATGCAGTCGAAATCTGCGCAAGCCGCGCTTAAGCTCCGCGTAAGGGCCTTGCCCACGAAAAGAGCAAAGCCATAGCGACACCTTACGCGCAGGCTGTTTTCCAAGCAGAAGTCGGTCTCCAGTTTCCAACTGTCGACTCTGAGCCTTCAGATTCTTGATCATCAGCACCGGGCACGCTGCAGTATCATTTTCCGTCCTTTTTTGTAGCCTGTTTGCTCAATGCCCTTGCCTTTGCTGACAACTTCTCCTCGAGGGGTTCTTTTGGAGTGCAGGGCGCAGGCGTAGAAGTAGACTTAAGCGAGGGAAGTTGGCTTGCAATATACCATGCACTGTTCTGGCCTCATAGAAAGGGTCCTTCAGCGTCAGCCAGCGTAAGCTCCAAACAGGGCCTTTTGCGAAGCATTGCGTTAACTCATGCGTAATCAAATCCTTACGACGAAGTTCGATAACTACAGGTTTTGAACACAGCTCACTTGTTTACAAATGTTCTCTGTGCCTTTTCCTTCAAGTGGTCCACCGTTTCCCTCCATGGGTAAGGTTTCCGTTCTCATGGGTATGACGGTATGCCGCTAGTGCTTTTGGCAGGAGGCAAAGATGGCTCGAGAGTGGGGCAAGAAGGTAAAGGAAGATCTCCATTTTCAACAAGGCAAGTTTGTGAATCACTTGCAACCAACGCTTCCTGTACAAGTGATATATATATACAGTAAGTGGTCCTGATTCCTGACAGTATCTAACATCAATTCTTGACATATCCATTCTTCCAGCACCATGCTCTCACTTATTGACTTATTGAAGATCATGCTCGCTTGCGCTAATTTCCCTGACAGGCAATGTGAAAGCCTTGGCTAAAGAGCCTCAGCATCCTTGAGAGTTACAAGCATTTGATTCGCAGCTTTTGGTTTGAACAACCGAGGATACCCAGCAAAGCAAAGTTTGGGGCGGCCCTAACTACAGGTCTGGATTTGTAAGGTTCTACGGTTGAAACTCCTTAATCTTTTGGAATGTGATTCTGCCAAACACGATGAGATCTGAATCTAGAGGCATGTGACTCCGAACGAAGCGCAAAGCGCGGAATATCAGCGAAGCATGCAAGCCATGAAGAGCATTGCCACGGACATCTCTGCAAAGCAGGCCTGGCAAGCAGCATTACGCGGCTGCTGCTTCACATGCTTATAGTTGCTTGGTGTGCCCAGGATGCTGTGGACAAAGCGATGAGGGAAGACTACAGGTTTGCTCCTGCAATAGGTTTGCTTCCTTGCACTACTTGTATGTTGATTCCTTTGCCAGGACCGTACGAAACACCCGGGCTGACAGCAGTGTCACGTCCTTGTCTGCATGGCTGGAGAAATATGGACAGCCTAATCGCCAAGCAGAGCCACAGGCGAGCCAACTAACTCAAAATGCTTGCCAAGCATTGCTTTGCCGAATTGTCAAGTATCCTTGCTCCTGTGTTCTGCCAGGAAAGATATCGTACCACACCTCACAAGCAGAGGAGGACGCCAGCCTCTGGCAGGTTAGTCTTTCAATTACACTCACTAATTTCCCTAAAAATCTAGGAACCAAATCATTAGTGCGAGCGCTTCTTCAAGGAAACTCCCGCCCACCCTCGGGCGGGGGAGCTTCCTTGAAGAGGCGTGAGCTATCCTGCGTCCATATGCAGCAGCGTCCAAGTAGCTAGGAGCGAACTTCTCCCTTACTTGGTTATATAATAAGTAGGCTAAAAAAGGAAGTGAATAAGATTGTACAAGTAGTTCCCGGGCAAGCCGGCGGCGGAAGTTTCCAAAAGAATAAACCTATAGGAAATGGGCATGTGGCAGGCTGATTCGCCGAGCTGCGATGTTCTTTGACAAAACAAGTTGGAACCGACCAATGGAGCGAAAGCGAAGCAACCACCGTTAACTGTCTCCCAGGAAAAAAATTGTTCATGCATTTTGCAAAATACAGAATAGAGATGACTCAGCCGCGTAGTAAAGGTGCTACAAAGTCGCCAGTTCTCAGCTTCCAGCTCCACGGCTTGCTCCGCGTACTAAAGTTGTACTACAAAGTCGCCAGTTCTCATCTTCCAGCTCCCCAGA